GTCATCACGGGGGCTATATATGCGAACTATCAACTAGTTCATAAAGTAAAGTTAAAATGTAAATAGTCACAAGAAAGCAACGGACAAGATGAAATGTTCATATCTGTTGTTTAGATTTTGTGTCGAAAAATTCGAGAATATTTGAACGCTATGGACAACTGACGGTGCACACACAGACTGTCGAAGTAACACGTTTAAATTTATTGACGCACGTACATCGCATAGCTGCTTTTTTAGATGTAAATAATACAACTAACACATTTTAAATTTTACTGTTATCGTCTGAATAATTTTAATTGAACAAAACTTTTGAAATATTTATAAACTAATAGTACGCATATTAGACAAGCGCTATCACGCTGTTCGGCGTTTTTTCAATGACCCCTGGGACTCACAAATGGTTATTGAAAGGATAATACTAGTAATATATACAATATCGGACAAATATATTCCTTTGAAACTCGGTATCTTTCTCCAACTTGGAGTAAACAAGTAGAATTTTTTTTTAATGATAAAGGGATTAGCCTACTAAACAATGACTATAATGCTGTTTTTCTAATTTTGTTCTCCGACTGGCAAAAAAACATAAAATTTCTCGTTTTTTAACCTTTTTGTCTGAGCTTGTAATGTTGATTTGAAAAATGTGTTTCGCAGATCTCGGTAATTTATATGCATGCTGAAAATTTCATCGAAACCGATTGACCTTAATACGAACTGTAAACAATTAATGATCGCGAAAATAGCAGTTTTGTCCCAATTTTTGACATTTTCGACCAATAACTGTATAAAATCTGCAGTTTTCTAAAATCATTCAACGCTTGAAGTTTGACTTTGCGTTAACCGATTTCGATTTGTCCGGGACTGTATAAATATCTAGTCAAATAAAATCTGTCCAGATTTTCTTTTCGCGACTTTCTTCAAAGAAGAAGAAAAAATTACGAACATTAAAGGATTGCGTCGTCTCTTTTCTTGGGACGTAAAATACGGACAGAAGCGATTTCGGGATTTTTCAAAATTCGGCGCAAAACACAAGATTTGTTCGCGCACCAGGTATCGGAAGAATGGCACACGAAACAAAGATTTTCCAACCGAAACCATACTTTCGCTAGATAGGACGGACGTAACAGGGTTCCAAGGTTCGAAGACTGCAATAACGAAGGGCAGTCTTCACGGCAGAGCGGACCTCGCAAAATGGTACAAAATAGTCGGTGTCGAGGCCACATTCGAGAGCCCGTGCACTTATACAATTATCGCGACGGTTCTTCGTTCGCAGCGCAAGTTGTCAAAGTGAGAATTTTTCGTGATCGTGCGGTGATCCGGTACGTATCCCACCCTACCCAATTACTATGGTTTAGTCTAATGGGTTTGCCCCGCGCGCGTAATACAAACGCGAAGGATCATCCCGTAAATGGTGTCTGGCTACAGACCGCTCTAATATCGCCTTGGCGACTGAAACAAAGAATAATACCGCCACACTACGCATGTAAAACCGCTCCTGGTATAGAGTGAGGCGATAGAAAGACTGCGGAATCCCGAAAACAAGAGGGCTTTTGGCGTCCCGATCGTCTCCGAGTTACCTGGCCCGTCTCTTCGTTTAACTCGTGGACGGGTTAACCAATATTACGTAAAATAGACGTTCTTCCGTTACGTGCAGCCACTGGAGCCCATTCGATGGGCTGATTCGATACTTGACACTCCACGCACGCAATTCAAAATAAGAAGATTATCAATAATCTGTTAAAATTTCCTCGTGGTGTGCTCTCCAGGCCTATGAGTAATTCAGTAATTTGGGTACACTCTTTGTGTAGAGATGGAATGATAATTTAAAGAACCTCAAAATTTCCTGATATTTTAATTAATATCTGTCTGTGTTCTAATTACGTTAGATACTTCATATGGGATGTCACATCGACGTATTGTGTAATGCAATGACAAAAATTGTATCTTCAAATGATGCGAAACAGTTACGATTCGTTGCTGTGAGACACCAAGAACTCATCGAGTTTTCGAAACAAATTGAAGAACTCTTTACGTTCATGTGTTTTGTCCAAATGTTTTCGAACATTATGGGTTTATGCTGTGGTGGCTATCTTGTTGTATTTGTGAGTAATGTTATCTTCACGATTTGTATGTTGATGTGTGATTATTAATGGCGCCCTTTGATTAAAAATACAAATACAAGAGGAAATTAAGATAATTTTAGTATCGTGCACATCAGCGTACAAGATCGTATTTCTATTTCAGACACTGCAAAATGGGTATGGGTTTGTCCAGCAGATAAAGTTTATTGTTAGCTATATCTCAATGTGTATGGAAATATTCATATATTGTTTTGCCGGAGAATACCTGAACGTTAAGGTAAATGTTCCAGATTAATAGAAAGTATAATAAATAAAACCTTTATCGTTTCTTCAATACTTCTGGAGATAGTTAATATATTTTAAACAGCTTAAGCAAAAACTGTGATCAGAAATTTGGTATTCATAATACGTTTCCATCAATGTATCTCAAATGATTAAAAATCTATGATTTTAATTTATTGTATTGTGTGTATGTTATTGTACTTTTCAGAACGAGATGATCATCGATGCAGCATATCAAATATCTTGGTATGAATTGCAGCCAAGTCTGAGACGACAAGTAATACTTTTACTTTTAAGATCTCAGAAAGGATTCCAATTGACTGTGGGAAAATTGTCAGAATTGAATTTGATTACTTTCACCTGGGTGAGATTTCCACATTTTAATTGGGTCAAATTGGTTTATAATTGCGTTTAATTTTCTTATGCTGATAAAAATCGAGATATAAAAGTGACTTTCGATTAGATTCGATAAGAATACCTGGCTTCTGTGTTCATAGATTGTGAAATCGTCCACATCTTACATGACAGTATTCCTTGCGATGTCTTGAATCCAATGACTTGCAAATTTTCCATCTGTAGCGTATAATAATTGAGAAAATACAAAGGAATTAGCAATTCTAAATGATACTTGTAGTATATCATTGATCACATGAATAGGTAAGCACCACTACAAACACAAAAATAAATAAGCGAATTCACGTTTGATTTGATGAATTCACGTTATTCACGTTTGACTCCTGTTAATTACAGATACGTTCTTTAAATGACACATGGTGCTTTACCTCTAGTCAAATGATAATGTATCAAAACAAAATGTTGAAATATAATAATGTTTGAAAGTTCCATTTACCTTATACATTGTAGCGAACCGAACTGCTTTCTTGCCAACACTAATCTCTTTAGAATAAGACCACTTGCTACCTCGGTTCTTCTCAGAGGGAAATGAAACCAATATCTCAACTTCTCTTGAACCATAATAATGCTGCAATTTCAGGAGACATCGAGGAAAAAACATTTTTATATCTCATAGCTTTTCCTTCGTATACGAAACCGCGATGCGACGAGACTTCTGATCAAATCAATTTAACATGATCTTCCCCGTCTGTCTGTTGCTGCATTTTTTATGGTAATCGCTAGACATTGCAGCCATGTAGAGAATGTAACGGTAACAAATCCTCCCTCGTCTTTTCTTATTCCCGGCAAACTTGTAAACATCGCGGAATTATTTGTAATATATATGAAGATCATGCGCGTAAGCTTTATGCTGCTCCTTTCGCATTGTTTTCGACAAAGTTCGCAGTTTGTCGTTCGGCGTGTAAGAAACATTACCGGTGTGCCACTCACAAAAACACGTACGATCGGCCATAATGAACTTTGCGGAATCAAAGAAACGTGGAAACTAAGAAATAATAAAGTGACTAGAAATCTTATGCGGGATGACGTTTCGGAGTACAGTTAATCAATCGATTAAGTACGGACTTCGTGTCGTCGGCGCTTTGCCCAATACGTCGTTCCTGAATTTACAAAAGTCCCTTTGGATTATATTTACGGCTGTGTCTCTGTTTTATCAGTCCATGTACGTGGTTACACACTTCCTTTCTGAAGGGCTCCCACAATTGTTCGACTGTATCACTTTAATTTTTACGTATAATTTGTTGTTTGTTAAATTAACTGTTGCGTCGATGAACAGTAGGTAAGTTATTTTGGGTGCAGTCATTTTACTATTAAAGTAATGAATTAGGCTTTATGTAAGTGTGTTTACACCACACATCGATTGTCAAAATAATACTCGGAGTTTTTGTAGAAACTGTTTAAGAAACTATGAAATTTATTGAACAAGAGAGTGCATGTCCATTTTATAGCCGAATAGTTGTAAAAGACAATCATTCGATGATATTCATATTTTGGTTGTGGAATTCATTTGCACCTTAACACTAAACCTACCTAGTTCTACAAGTGCCTAACGTATGTTACTTGTAAGAATGTGGAAACTGAATTTATTTACACTATTTATTATTTGTATTTTAATCTAGATTTGAACAAAGGAATTCATGCAATCGTTTTTTAAGATAGACCCTTCATGATTTCAACAATTCGAGAACAAACAATCTGAGACCGTTCATTTTATCCGACACGGTAGGTTTAGCGTTAAGACATCATCTGCGTCAATTGGAATATTCGTTCCATTTACTTTCGCTATTTTGAAGAAATGAAGAAGTCGCGCCATTTTTATTGTCTCAGACAAACATAGCGAATTCAGTACAGAATGTAGCAATGTACATGTTAGCATTGCTAGTTTCTGTTTATGTGGGTAATTTCTTCATATATACTTCTTATGCAAAAGCAGTCACTTATGACTGAAACCAATGGTCCAATTGGTTTCATCCTCGACGACTGATGGTTTTAATCACGATATCTCGCAGTGTATTGTACGGCATTGTAACGTCTATGGAGGAAGATTGCGTAAAATATATTGTTGCTGATTCAAAGAATTTGATACCGAAAGCTGCGGACCTTTCGCAGACCGTAACGAGAGCCGTTATTATCACCTACTTGGGATCCGCAACTTTTTATGCTGTCTCAATTCTCGTCGCCCCACAGGTGAACGATACGCTACCTCGTCAACTTCTCTTAAACATGGATTTGCCTTTTAACACCATCGACTCGCCTAATTATGAACTTGTGGTGACTATACAATTTTTGAGCATTGTGATGACAGGATATGGATACGGTGTTTTTAGCTCTTTTCTTTTGGTAACAGTAAGTATAAATAATTATTTGAGATATCACATTATTTGAGATCTGTGTCGATTTTGGACCATGCTCTAGTCAATTTGTTTTCATATCGAGCATAGAGCATATAGAGCATTTTTCTGAACATATGTATATTTCTGAATTAATTATAGAAAACATGATTGCAAAAATTTCATTATATTTTGAAGAATAGAATTGTAATTTAAGGAAAATTTTGTAAAATATTTTTCTGTGATGTGACATACTTTAGATACTTCACATAGGATGTCAGATCGATATATTGTGTCATACAATGACGAGTATCGCATCTTCTAAGGACAAGAAAAAGTTTCGTACCGTTACCGAGAGACATCAAGAACTTATTGTATTTTCAGAGCAGATTGAACAGATGTTTACGTACATATCGTTCGCTCAACTTATATCAAACACTATATGTTTATGCTGTCTAGGATATCTGATTATAATAGTAAGTAATATTATTATGTTCTTCTTCAACTTACATGTATATATATATGTATGCGTATAAAATACTTCTTCTGAAAACATTTTTCTATTTCAGTCACTAGAGGAAGGAAGTCAATTTGTACAACTGGTTAGGTTTTCATATTACTACGTTGCAATTTGTATAGAAATATTCACATATTGCTTCGCCGGAGAATACCTCCATGTCAAAGTATATTTTTCGGATTTGAATTAAATGCATGGAAAACATGAGATTGGAAATCGTTTACAGAAATGAATAGGAAGATTTTACCATTATAAAACTTCCTTTTACTCTTCTAGAACGATATGATCGTTGATGCAGCATACCGAATGACCTGGTACAGCATGCAGCCTTCTATGAGTCGACAAGTACTATTTTTACTTTTAAGATCTCAGAAAGGAATGCAGCTGACTGTCGGAAAATTTTCAAAGCTTCGTTTAGAGACCTTCACTTGGGTGAGCTTTTTTTTACATTAAAGGATTATTCCTATTTAAGACTGTCAATTTTGGGTAACGTTTGAGGCAAAGAATGGTTATGTGTTCTCGTATACTAAATATATTATATATGTTTAGCTATATTTAAGGTAACACAATTTAGATTTTATGCAATTATGTGTTCACACCTTCAATGTTCGCGGATTCCATGTTTTAGGACGTTGAGTTGCTTGTGATGTAAAAAGTAGAACATTATAATCGTAAGAAATTATCGTAAGAAACTAAATTAACTTTAATTAAAATGGCGATCGCATGAAGACGAAATTCAACAAAATTGAAACTTCCATATGCAGTAAAAAAAAGTGTTTAGGCATTACCGGAGATTGTTCTGGTTCACAAGACAAAAAAAAATGCCTATTTCATGTATGTGTTTTTGTTGATGATCGGTTAATTTGTTATTGAGACGTCATTGAGCCCCTCCAATGGGAATACCTCTCTATCCTCTTTTTATGAAGATAAAGTTCTGAATATTAATCAAATAACCTTTAATCACAGTTTTGATAAGAGTTTTCAACTCTATATTCGCAGATTATGAAATCGTCGGCGTCTTACATGTCAGTGTTTCTTGCGATGTCTTAAACGGAACGTTTCATAACCTTTCCATCTGCAGCGAAAAGTAACTGAAACAGGGGAACCAGCAGTTCTAAATGACACCTTTAGAATGCTGCTAAATATGTAAGTGTACGAATACAGCCAAAATACAAATGTAGAACATGTCTGCATAAACAGGTATAATTTTTTTCAGGTCACCTATCAATTACAGGTACGTTTTTCACAAGCTATTGTACTTTACTTTTAAAACAAATATTAATGTATCAAAACGAAAAGTTCAAATATAGTAATATTTGTAAAATCAACTTACATTACAGTTTTTGTAGCGAACCGAACTGCTTTCTAGCCAACATTAATCTGTTTAGAAAAAACCACTTGATATCTCGGTTCTTCGAGAGGTTTATAAAACAAGTGCCCCAACTTCTCTTGAACTATAATCACGCTGCAATTTCATGAGACGTCGAGGAGAAAACAATTTTATATCTCAAAGCTTTTTCTTCGGATTCGAAAGCTCGATTCGATATGTGACTAAATCAATTTAACATGATCTTGCCCGTCGTCTTCCTGCTGCTGCATTTTTTATGGAAATCACTGGTCATTGCAGCCAGGCAGTGACTACAACCTCAACAAATCCACCCTCGTCTCCTCCTGTATCCACCAAGCCTGTAATCATCGCGGTATTATTCGTGCTGCTTTTTTCACATTGTTTTCGACAAAGTTTCCAGTCTGTCGTTCGATGTTCTGGAAGCATTACCGAGTGTGCCACTGACAAACATGGGCGTTCGATCATAATGGACTTTGCGGAATCATAGAAAAGTGGGATTGAAAGTACAAAAACCGGGATATAAATTTCGTGCGAAATGGGATCCCGGAGCACAGTTAGTCAATCGATGAAATATGGTCTTTATATCGTTGGCTCTTGGCCTGGTACTCGTTTCGGTGGTTTACTTAAATTCTGTTGGCTGCTACATGCAACTTCATTGCTATTACTGCAATGTATATACCTGTTTACACACATCCGTTCTGATGGGCTCGCACAACTATTCGATTGTTGTGGTTTTATTAGCACGTATGGTTTGCTGTGTGTTAAAATTACTGTTTTGTGGCTGAATCATGGGTAAGTTGTTTCACGCTATTTATCAACCCCTTGCGCAACGATTTCTTTCATATAGCTATGTTGATTAATAATCCTTAATAATTTTTCCTAATATGACGAGACCATTTTTTTGTATGTATCTATATACTTGCATTCCTAGATTTTGATAACAGAATAATCGAATTTTATTTTGATTTAGAAGAAATGAATAACATTCATATTCAGTAGATTATGCATGAAATCTTCGTGACGAGTTTTTATGGTGTAAGGGATTAGAGGTGAAAGATTCGATTTGTGGAATGTTATTAAAATGTTGAATAAACCTTCAAAAGAGAAAGGCAGTGTCAGTAAGCTGCTGATTGTTTGTATGTACGAAACTAAAACTCGAATGTAATATAAATTAGCAGTATTTTCAATTTACGGTTTATTTTCAATAATTTTTGTCAGATGAATTTAATTTACGTGAAGTCATTTATGATGCTGAAAACGTGCATACAGATCCGTAAGTTTAATTAAAGATTTTTTACAAAAACAGTGAGTCTGTAGAAAAAAAAATCAACTTTTCCTTATGGCCTCGCCCTTTTCCTCGCCCTTGGAAGGAACGAAGAAGTTGAATCATTTTCATTCTCTGGGAAAGAAATATCGAGTTTGATAAAAAAAAATGGAGCATACTGGTATAGCTATCATCTACTCATACGGTTAATTCCTTCATACATTTCGTATCTGAAAATAATAATTTCTGATTGAAACCAATGGATCAATTGGTTTCATCGTGGAAGATTGACGGCTTTAATCAGAAATGTCTCACAGTGCGTTAAGTGACATTTTAACGTCAATGGAGGAAGATTGTGTTGAATATTCTGTTATCGATACAAATAATTTGATATCGAAAGCGGCGGATCTTTCGCGTATCGCAACGAAAACAGTTATTGTCATCTACGTGGGATGTTCAACATTTTTTTCATTCGCTACTTTAGTAGCTCCACGAAGTGATCTTGTTAATACAACGATATCTCGACGTCTTATCATGAATATGAATTTGCCTTTCAATACCAACATATCGCCGACTTACGAGATCGTGATGATCATGCAATTTGTTTCCTTGATTACGTCAACGTATGTGTATAGTATTTGCAGTGCTCTTCTCTTGATGATGGTAAGCGTAAATAGTTATGCGAGAAATCACATTCTCATTTCAATTATAAAAAGACTGTGTTAAAATAGCTATGGTATCTGGGTTGTGCTCGAGTCAATTTATTGTTTATACCTGTTATATCATTATTAATGGATTTTTATGTAAATATAGATCCTTATGGATCATTTCCAGAGGGTGGAATTGGACAAATTTTATTATATTTTCAAAATAAAATCACAATCCTTTCGAGGAAGAAATAGAAGGAATCTAAATATTTCTTGACATCTTCTAAATTACCTTTTTATGGTATTCCTTTTTTAGCTATATAGTATAATTATTTTAGATGGTACACATGGGATGTCAAGTCGATATACTATGTCAAGCAATAGCGAAAATCGCAACCTCTAAGGACCACAAACAATTTCAATTCATTGCCAGGAGGCATCAAGAACTTATCGCGTTTTGCGAAAGAATCGAAAAAGTTTTTACGTTCATAGCTGTCGCTCAATTATTATCGAACACTGTAGTTACATGTTGCGTAGGTTACATTATTATATATGTAAGTAATGCTGGTTTTGTGATTCATGTATGCAGTGTGTCTCACCTAACTTGAGCTTGCTTTTTATGATAGAAAAAAATCTTGAAGGAAAACATTGGTTGGTACAGAGGGACGATTATTATGATGAGCAAAAAAATGTATTCGAGATTACATCTTCTGAGATTTTAAGGTCATCGAAGTGTAAAGCTAGAGAAATTGACGTAAACAACGACATAAAAAATAACAGAATACATGGTGAAGGAGCAAGAGTTCAAAATGATGTCTATTAACTTCAATACATTTATGTAACCAATTAATGGACGATTCTCTGATCCTCCTTGTAACTTGATCACTGATATTAGCACACGCGGTTCTATTCCTCTCATATTTTCCGGTGCTGTAGCAACGTCGTTATTAACTTTACGCCAATTACCCTACCTTTTTGAATTTTTCGTACTCAAGGTCATGAAATTCTAGGACGTTGAATTCGTCTCGACCTCGACTATCATACAGTGATAATAGAAATATATCATTCCATTAAAAAAAAAGTTCGATCACCTTGAAATCTCAAAAGATATAATCTTGAACAAATTTTTTCTCCCATCATAATATTTGCCCCTCTGAACCAACCATAACGTGTTTTCCGATATTTTTTTCTATCATAAAAACAAGCTAGATATTTGAGAGTTAGGTGAGGCATCCTGTATACATACGAGTGGTGTGATAAAATAGCGTGTGTAAAAATATTTTCGTGTGCAGACACTGCAAGAAGGAAATGATCTTCCACAACTGTTGAAGTATGCCTGCAGCTACATTGCAATTTGCTCAGAGGTATTCACATATTGCTACGCCGGAGAGTACCTCAACATGAAGGTAAACTTTGTTGTACGTTCAGATCCTTTATGAAACGTATTAACTTCAATTAAGTCTTTCTTTAAAAATTGATAACTGGGAAGATAATTTAAGCTGCTTTTATCCTTTAGAGCGACATGATTGTCGACACAGCATACCAAATATCTTGGTACAATTTGGAGCCCTCTATGAGTCGACACGTAATACTCTTACTTTTGAGATCTCAAAAAGGATTGCGGCTGACTTTTGGTAAAATATCCACCCTTAGTTTGCAAACCTTCTCCGGGGTGAGGTTTTCACATTTCATTTATATTGGTCGTACATTATGAATAAGTATATTTAGTTTCTCTCATCGTAGATTATGAAATCGTCGGCGTCTTACATGTCAGTATTCCTTGCAAAGTCTTAAAAACAACGCTTCGTAAATTTTCCATTCGTAGCGTGTCGTAATTAAGGAAACAACAGAGGAATTAACTGTTCCATATAACACTCTAGGAGTATCGCTAAACACGAAAATAGGTGAGCGCCACTAAAATACGAGACCTAGGGGAGAGTAGCCTAATTTGGACTAGCACCTAAAGCAAATCAGTATGTATCGTATAAAAATTAGTTCTAAGATTCTTAACGTTATTAATCTTACATAATCGAATGGTGACTGCGAAAAATTGTTACCAAATTTATTTATATTTAAAAAACTATTAAAAGTGTAACAGTTCCATAAGCCACAAGACTCAATTTCGTATGCATAAAATGCACTAAAAATGCACTATAAAATAGAAATACTGTAAGTCGGAAAAACTACTTTGGATTTACAGTTGAAATGGCTATGTTGCTTTGTGCTCTAGTTACGTCTCTTGGAAGAAAGAATTATTGTAGTTTCATTAGTGACGGAAATTGGCTAGTAAATTAGGCCTAATCTGACTGACGCAAATTCGCCAGCTGTCTCCTATTATAAATGGAACTTATAAAATGCTTATCTAACATGTTTTTAGGTCACCTGTTCGTTACATGCGCGTGCTCCCCACACTATGGTGCTTTATCCTTGCCGTTAATGTATCAATCTAAAACGTCGAAATATATTTGAGAATATCACTTACGTTCTATTCTGTATTGAGATGCGAACCACTCTCTAGTCGCTAGCCACCGCTCCGTGGAGAAAAACATTCATCGTCCCGGTAATCCGAGGCAAAAATCCAATCCAGTATCTCAGCTATTCTCGAACGATAATGACGCTACAATTTCGCGAGAGTTCGGAGAATTCATTTTTATTTCCAGAAGTTTTCTCTTCGCGTTGGACGCGACTTCCGACTAAATCAATTTAACATGATCCTGGCGGTCGTGCGTCGGCTCCTGCATTTTTCATGGGAATCGTCGGCCGTCGCAGGAAAGCAGGGACCGCGACTCCGACAAATCTTCTCTGGCCTCTCTTCCTGTTCTCGGGGAAACCTGTAATCACCGGCGGCGTTATTTAGAATATTCATGCAGATCATGCGTGCGCGCATCAAACGGCTGAAGGACTGCTTTCGCGGACCTCTCTTTTCGCGTAGTTCTCGTGGAAGTTTTCAGTCTATCGTAGGAAGTTGATGAAGAACCACCGAGCCCCAGGTTCAATGAAGCACCGCCGCCGTTGCATCGTGAGAGTGACAAACGCGAGGGTTCGAACATAATGGACTTTGAGGAATCAGTGGCAGCCGGAATCTAGAAACACAAAGACGAGGATATCGATTTTTTCCGGTGAAATGACATCTCGAAGTACGATTAGTCAGTCTGTCAAGTATGGGCTTCATTTCATTGGTATTTGGCCGGGCACACCGTTCCCGGGCTTGAGGAAAGTTTGTTGGGTGCTGTCTGCCGTTCTTTGCCAAATTGGCCAGTACAAATACATGATCACGCACTTTAACACAGACGACTTTATTGAGTGGATAGAGACTTTGAGTCTGACTATGACGTACACTTTGATGATCGTTAAATTAACCGTTGCCTGGGTGAATCACGAGTGAGTAGGCATCATATCCTATCGTCTGCATTTATAGAACTTTACTTCGTACTTCCATACCTCTCTGTACTTCGTTCTAATTGTATTTCATGATTGTGAGCATTGTGTTATTTATTCTAGTATACAGGGTAACGATAATGAACGAAGACTTAAAGATTCGTGTTCTCATTCTTCTTTTTCTTATTAAGAAAAAAAGGGGCACTCTTGAAAGCTCTCTTATTATAAGGGAGATAAAATTAAGTGAATTTATGTTCGCTCGCCATGAATTTCCAAACCAGATTTAAAAGTGTAAAAATTTAGTGGTTCTTCAACTAGAAGATAAATATGGGATGCTGCTCTACTTATACATATGTTACGTGTTTAAATAAACTAAGTGTAGAATGTAGGACTATAACGACAATTAATACTATCAGACTATTCCAATAATACTTACGACAAAAGCTTATGATGTATTCTCAAACATGAGACTAGCTGCAGATTTTTTGTTTAATAAACTCGCATGATTAGAGGATATATCATTGAAGCTCTTATTTAAAAATGAATACTCAATTTTTGCGAAAGTTCGCTCAAAGAGCAGTAAAGCATATAGGTAAAAGGGTGCACTTCGGGGGTGTAAAAAGGACGGGCATGTTAATAACTCTATCTGTTAGCGTGCTGTGTGAAATCATATCGACCATGGAGGTTGATTGCACGAAGTATGCAGTTGTCGACACGAATAACGTGATATCGAAAACGGCGGATCTTTCATTCCGTTTAACGAGCATGATTCCGGCGCTCTACATGGTGTCCGTGTGCTGTCACGCAGTCGGCACACTAACAAACCCACGATCCAACGATTCGATGGATCGGCAGCTTCTCCTGAACATGGATTTGCCGTTCGACATCAATCAATCGTTGACTTACGAACTCGTGCTAGTTGTGCAGATAATTTACCAAGTTATGTCAGCGTACACGTTCAGCCTTTTCAGTGCTCTTCTTTTGATGACGGTAAGTACAAATCAGAATTGATGTATATACAGGCAGATTCCTAATAGTCGTTCCAAAATTGAAGAACAGTTGTTGAAAATTTCTTAAAAATTTGTTCAAAAGCGTTAGCAATTTTATGTAGCAATTTTACAGATTATTTAGATTAATATTGTGTAATTTCATTTATTTGTTTTGCAACTCTTGTATTCTGTTGTGTATGAAGGATAGGTAGTCGATAGATTGCGGATTTTTATGCATTTATAGCATCTGCGAATTAATAGGATGCAAGAAGATATATATGTTAATCAAAATTGATGTGGTCTCGTTGTTCTTAGATACTTCACGCAGGATGTGTCATCGATATTTTGTGCTGTATAGTAAAACGCACATCTGCTCAGGACGATGGACAATTTCGATTCGTTGCAATGAGACATCAGGAAATCATTTTATTCACAGAACGAATCGAACGACTCTTTACTTACATAGCTCTTTCCCAACTTCTATCGAATACTCTAATTATATGCTGTCTAGGATTCCTTTTCATAACAGTAATTAGTTTCTGCCTCCAGTATCTTGGACCACTTGTACGCGCGCTTTTGCGCAAATAATTCCTAAAATAAAAATGATTCCCTGTTTCAGGCATTACAAATTGAAAACGGACTTCCCTTGATTTTAAAGTCTTGTATTTTCTATATCGTAATTTGTTTAGAAATATTCGTGTACTGCTTTGCGGGGGAGTACCTCGATATTAAGGTAAATTCCGTTTTATATCGTACAGAAAATACATGAGAAATAATAACTTAACTAATAGAAATGATTGCTTATATTTCATGTTCTCCGCATATGCAATGTTTGCATGCAATTACGCAGTTATGTTTTACAGAAATTGTTTAGTGTTCAGAGAATTTAAACAAATTTTCTTTTATTCTCCAGAGCAAAATGATAGTCGATGCAGCATACCAAATGTCCTGGTACGACTTTCAGCCAGCTACCAGTCGACAATTAGTACTTTTAATACTAAAATCTCAGAAGGGATTGCCGTTGACTTTCGGAAAGTTTTCATCTCTCAGTTTGCAAAGCTTCGCAAACGTAAGGTTCTCATTTATGAATTATGGCGACACCGTTAATTGCAAACAATTATGTATAATGTTAGTACCTTTGATTTTCGTGTTCGTAGATTATGAAAGCGTCGGCGTCTTACATGTCGGTACTTCTCGCGATGTCCTGACCATCTCATGTTATCCATTCGTAGTATGGTTTTAGAATTTAGAAGAGGATTAGCTATTTAATATACTAAATAAACTGTTTACATGTACATCGTTTATTTCTTTGTTCTGTTGTTGTTTTTTCTGGGCATTAACACTAACAAATGACCGATTCGACAATTCTTATTCTATAATTATTGAAATTATAAAGACACATTCACAGAAAACCATTCAATAAATTTATTCATCCCAACATGTGTTAATATAAAAACTGGAAAAGATCTAAATAAATTATTCAATACTGTAATTTGTATAAGGCAACACAAACGAGTCATTTTGAACACCCGGTACGGTTAGTGTTAAAATAAACAGATGTAAGAAGAGGAAATGGAACCGTGCTCTAATATGCTCTATTTGAGTTGTGCTTACAGGAGTAAGAAGAAATGTTTAATGATTTTTGAAACACAAGATAAAAGACTGTATTATTATATGAAAACAATGGAAGATTTCGTATGAACATGATCCACAGTTAATTCCGATCATGATATGCAACCAATTTTGTGCACCAATAATTTCGTTATAATTAAAGCTTGCTTGACTGACTCTGATATTCTTTTGCAGACAATTTTGGAGAATTTTAATTTGGATACAGTTTTGGAGAATCGATGACCACTAGTGCTTCTGAATACTGAAGATGACTGTTTCGAATATTCCGTGTGAAGGTAAAATATGAAAACTACGTTACATGATATGAAAGGTAAACTACGAAAACTACTATATACAATATACAGTTACGAACGAAAGCGTGTCACACGGTGTGCACGTTTACAATATACGGAATATTTTTCAAAAATGGCAGGAATGGTATAACAACGAACCAGAAATAATACAAAATTTGATTGTCGGTATGTCGCGCAGCCTGGAAGCGTTAAAGAAAATAAAAAAGAAATGGACAAAATATTAATTTCAGACTATTATTAAATAGAAAAAAGAGCAAAACTGTAAACGTTGCGTTAAGTTTTTATCTTTCTAAAATATTCTGTATATCTTCATTTTCATGAGACATGCGGTGTGGATACACTTTTGCTCGTCATTGTACGTACAGAATAAATTGAAATAGCTGTTGTACATCAGAAATTAGTACTACACATTATATTTATGTTGCATTTAAGTCGAATTTTTCACAATTTTGTGCCATACCATTTTGGAAAAAAATACAAAATTCGATACAAATCCCAAATCAGCAAAAAAAGGACAGAAACAAGAAGCCAGGTTCCCCCATCGAAATTGTCCACGTCTAAAGGAAATCTGAACTTAATCCGCGACTATCACGTGACTTGACGTTAGAAAATTAGGCGAAAATTGTGCGTTGACTCAGATGTCCTAATAGGTTGAACGGCCAGGGGCTGGTTTTCGCTTCGCTCGCAATTTCAACCCTCGTTTGTTCGCGCCGGTCGCATGATCAAGCCAGATGGCCCGGAAGAGATCAAGTTGGCACGAATCTGGGATTGCTTATCAAGATAATTTTCGTATCTCAGCCTCTTTCATGAAACTAAGAGACGATACTTAGAAGGGCTGCTCCGGTAGGCATCGTCTGGGGAATTAAAGGTCTGTCGAACTCGAGTATCATTAAATTTCAAACACATTTCCCCCCAATATCCGATTACGTACAGTCGCAGACAAAAGCATTGGCACAACTGGCTTTTAATTGGATGGCTTATAACTTTAGTATCTCTTGCTTGTTCTAGTTCTGGCGGTGCTTAAGCTCGTATTGTAGACGAAGAAGTGTTTTGCAGTTTTCGCCACGTTGCCGCAATAGGTAAACTTGTATTTGCCAGGAATAAACTTCGTTTTCGAATGATGTTGCTTGTATCGCTGTAACTTCGAAGAAAATTATTGTCGTTGCTTGGAAAAACTTAGATACATCCACCGAATAGTTAACGAATTTACGAAGTATGCAATAATAGTACACGACACCACTTTTTCAAGAAATCCCTAAAAATTGCCTTATGACTACGCTGTTTTATCCATTTCTCTTACATGCAAGTTTTTAAAATGCACACAGACGCACCTATTAATATCATCATGCAATTACTTGTATTATCAGACGTTGGATTAAAAAGCAAACAAAATTACAATATTAAAGTAATAATAAAATATTAAAGTCAATATTAAAAAAATATGCACGGTTTACTTTTATGCATTTCTGCCAACCGGTTGAAATCAATTTGCGACTGATAAGAAATCCATGTTCGCAAAAAATTCCAAAATCATCGTCTGGTAATCACAATTTGACAGTAAAGGGACCCGTTTCCCATAAAGAGCTACATCATCGTCGTAATGTAAGAATCGTCGCGGTTCGTTTCGCGGTGGCATTAGTTTAATGCATAGGGGATCAGTTGACATTGGCGCGAGCATGTTCGATAATCAATTTCCCGGCGCTCGTTTTTCCTATGTTTACTGTTTACCGGCTCGTCTCGTCGAACGCTCGTCTGTGTACGTAGAATAGAGAAACGATGGACGAGGACCAGTGGTAGGGGTATGTTTCGGGGTGTCTGGTAGGGGCAGAGGGACGAAATTAGGCAAATACCACGTGTCGAATGGCTGGTAGAAAGTTGTTGAAGTTTCGGACGCAGTCCGATTTTCTAGGAAAGCTGGTGCATCGGCGGCGTTGGCGTTGGCGTTGTCGACGTTGGTGTTGGTGTTGGCGTTGGCGTTGGCGGCGTTGGCAGCGGTGGCAGCGGTGGCAGCGTGGCGGCGGCGGCGACGACTTCCCCGGGCCGAGCGAATTGGTCTCCATGGAAACCACCCCAAAGCCAATCTGGGGTGCATTCGTACGTACATTTACCCTTGTCGAGGCGCGTCTGCAGCACCCTCCTCGGCCCCTGCCCCCACCATAAACTCGCTGCCCCTCGTCGTCGTCCCCCTATTGTCCCTGCCCCTCACTTTCGGCCTGTCTCGGGCTATCTGTCTCTCTTTGACCTCCACCATCTTGCCTCTCCGCCCTTTTACGCGTTCCTTCGCGCCTTTTCATCCCGCCATAATCTTCGCAGCCGCTTCATTCCTGCTTTATCTCCATAACCTTCGCTTCCTTCTCCCCGTCCCCTTTTATTTCACTTCGTCGTCGGCCGACCCTAACAAGCTGCCAGCTTTCGGATTTTCTGCCATGACCGCTTCTAGTTTACTCGCGATCATTTCGTTGCTCGCTCCTCCGCTTGATTTCCCGGGATTCGGTTCTCCTTGTTTCTCGCTGCGTCGAGCTGTGCACGCTGGAATTACCGCCAGCCGGGAATCTGCGCGAATTCGTACCTCGTGGTTCCGTTGGTTTCTTTGTTCATTATGTGCTAGCCACTGTTTTCTGTTACGCCGATCCGTAAGTTTCTTCTGTTTTGATTGGTGGTTTGATAAATGGATTTCGACACATTTTCATGGTGATAGATATCTTGCGAAATGCAATTGTCGAAAATGTTTAGGCTGCGGATGCATGCACGAACGCATATTTGTGCCGAAAATCGATAATAGAGGCATACCTGCATACAAATTTTTCTCGTCTTCGAAGAGCTTCGTCCGTCTCCTATATTTTGCATAGTTTGCATGTTTCATATGTTTCGCGCACGTTTCCTTGGGAAACTATGCAAAAGTATACCGCATATTCCGGACTATTATTTTCTGTTGTATGTATTCTGTGAAAGCTTTGCCGCAGAGTTTCAATAATATATTATTATTTTATTTCTCAAAGGACTTACTTAAATGAACTATACTGTACTGTCAATCTGGAAAAAAAAATTGTATCACGCGTCACGTATTGAATTCGTGTTTCTATCTAGGAGCGCAGAACGGTTGATATTTTGCATGAAAACTCGCAATCCAGCGACATGCACGCGCGCGGACTGGTGGCTATAGTATGTATAGTGAAAGACCCGGCAGAGAAGGGAAGTAATATCTTTGCCTTTTAATGATCTTTCACTTGGCCAGCTTTTTCGTGTCAACGAGCGGACGGGCAATTGCTCGGAGCGTTTCCTGTTCCGCGAGAATTTGAATCTTGTTACTCAACAACCTTTCGCAAAGTTGTACTCTTTTGCCACGTTCCGAAGAGCTCTTAAGTTCTGACGTTTTCCTGGTTGAACGAGTGTGTATGCTGTTTCAATCTTTATTGGTAGCGGGTTTGTAAAGCAGCCAAATCGAAAGCTTTCAATGGAGAACGGTTTCAAAGCAGTATTGTCGCGATTGGATTTCCGAAAGTTGTAAACATTTGTCGATGGAAATAACAATACATTTTTGTACCATTCAACAACGTCCCTGAGCTACTTGCTGTGTGTTTTAGAAATGCATGGTAGTTGTTTGAAACGTTGTAGTACCAATTTTAAGAAGAGATGAGATTATGCGGTGTGCAAAAATGTTGACAACACTGTTAGCTTTGTTAAAACTATATATGTATCATGCTTCATTGTGATCGTAGTGATAAAAATAGCTCGCATATAGCTGTTTACCAATTTCAATTGAAAAGGATATTACACGTGTAAATGTTTAAAACATTCAAACTTTGTTCAAATTATATAAATGCCCTTTTGTGAGAAAGTAGAATAATAAAAGTATCTCGCATGAAACCGTCTACATTTTATTAAAACAGAGGGTAATACGCTCCCTTGGAACAGGTTCAGAAAGTTTTAATTTTAGCCGAATTATATAATTGCTGCTTCGTAACAGAGAAAAACATTAAACAAAATATGTCGCACGTATCTGCAAATTCTTCGCAAAGTTTCTCAATTGAAATGCGTTTGAATGAAACTCATTTAATAAGAACGTTGTCCTTTGTCTTTAAACACGAGTGAAACAGTTTCTGCTTGAATCACGTCCACTTGCTCGCAGGTATTAAAATGTATTTTCGTCTCAAAGAAATCGCGATTTTACTCATTTCGAACCAACGGGAAGTTTCTTAATATTTTCTGCACGAAGTATTCCATTTAGAAAGCAACCTGTGTGTAGTAAACGCACAACAAAGCGAAATACGCCAAGCAGAAGG